CATTTTATGCAATTGCTCATGTTATGGGATACTGATATTGGTGTGAACATTTTTTTTGCCCTTTTCTAGTTCACTGTAAAAACATATACATGTCGGTAATTGGTTTTGTGTGTTTTGCATGGGTTTGTAGACACTAATTGTGCTCTGATCTACACTCAGCTCCATGAGGTATGGGCTAGGTATATCAACCCACAAATTGATGATATGAATTAGTCATACATTTCCAGCTCATTTCAGACTGCGATCAGCCATGACTCACAGAGTCTATACCTCTTTTGAATAGCCCACACATCTGAGTTTGTCTCACTTACTGATGTAAAGTGTATTTAGAGATTTTCTCATCTATCATAAGAGCTGCAAAATTTCACCAAATAAAGGTTTCTGGTATCTGGGAAAACTTTGTTAAAATGCAACAAAACTACTATATTATTCAACTGTAGTAACTGTGATGAAGCAAAAGGTAGATATGGCTATGGCTCAACTACTTAAGGGGATTGTAGATCAATTGACTGCACTATGAAAGACATTTTAGCATTCTGTTCAAATGCTAAAATGCTCTTAGTAGCTCATTGTGAGCAGGAATTAGGAGACAGATTCAACCCTTACCTGTAGTCAGATCAGAAGAACAACATTGTGAAAGTTACCATCCAAAAAATATATTAGCTCAAAGGAATGTGCACACTGCAGCCTTAACCTGGTTTAACAATGATTATTTTTCTTGGGAGACTACTGTGAGCTGTAAATCTCATTTTCAAGAAAAGGCGGCATCAGGCACCAAACTACACTTCCCAATTTTTTTTAGACCATTTGTCAAAAGGGTACTAAAATATTGTTATGGTACACAAGAAGTGTTCTTTTCCTTTACAAACACATCCATGGTTGGAAGAAGTGGGAGGGGTTTCCTTCTTACCTCATGCAACCTTGGAACCCCTGTTTTAAGAAAGTAAATCTGTTCCCTCCTTATGCAAGTTGTGCCACTTGTTAAAACCTTCCTATCTAGAGGCTATACAACACAGCTGGATTTGACCATAACTAAATGTATCTCCCCTTCCCCCAGATAATTTCAAAGCACTGTTCTAATTGCTGCTCCACTAGTTTTTCACATTTCTTTCTTTCTTTCTTTCTTTCTTTTTCCTTCATTTCTTTTAATATTTGTGATGCTGCCTGGTTTGAACTGAACAAATAACTTTAGGACAACTATGTGTGACCAGATAGGTAAACAGGCAGATGAATGAATGGATAAAGTTGTTACATCCCAAGATATAGGAGGAGGGGATTTTTTATTGCCTTACTACTAGGATTAATGTTTTCAAACCATTGATATACCAGGAAGATGCATGGAGGTGATGCAAGACAAGAACAAGTCAGCAAAACAATCATTAAAAGCCATTCCCTCAAAATTTGATCTGTTTAGTGGAAATTGAAAAAGAAAACTCTTCTCCCATTAGTATAAAGTAGTACACTTGTCATGAATAGCATAAAGACAAATTGTCAAGGAAAGTGTGTAAGGAATAATAGACAATGGAACACCTCCTGCCACCCTTTTGACAAACGCAAAGTATGAGGGCTTGATTGCCATTGTGTTCAGTAACTGGCACCAGTAGGAAGACTGTGTTCTGAAGGAAAGCGTGGGATGTCACTTCCACTCAGCACAGAGCTCATTAGCATTGAAACTTTGTTATGAAGCAAAGGCACATTTCTGAAAAAGCCAGTAATACTGCAGCCATAGAATATAAAATGCTGATTATGTTTTGGACTCAATCGTCAACCCAACAAGCTCATCATTAGAGCAGTTACTTCACATGGTCTCTTGCACAGCAAAGCAACTTAATTAAGAAAATGTGTTAGCAGTGCTAGGCATGCTTACAAAATTAATGAGCAAGTATGATGACTATTTTTGGAGGAGGGACTACAAAGGTAATTCCTAAGTTTACATCTGAACTTTACCTTATCAGATGTCTCTGTTCTAATGGGAAGATTAAAAACCAAACAATCTGCCTTTCCATGTCTACAGTGTCATGATGCAATATACAGTTGTGGCTGCATATGCACTACCTTTGATGCAGAAAACCAGTCAAAAGAGTAACTGAACTCAGAGCTAGAATGCAATGTCACAGAAATACAAAGCTGGAGAGGGGTTTCAGACCATAGTATTTCTTATATGGAACCCCTTTGCTTGGATTTTACTGTAACACTAGCTGAATCATGATCTACTTGCATGCATGAATAAAAGGGAAGAGCACTTCCCATACCCCAAAATTATCTTCAGCAAATGTCTCCAGCCATTTTGAGCTGATTCGACCAAAAACAAAGTCAGATGTAAGTTCAGGCAATGGAGCACAAACCATTCTGAGCAGGTAGATTTGCAGATCAGAATGAGCAGACTGTAAATATCTAAATTCTCTTCCCTGCTGCACACAGGTTCTAGTTTCTGGAAGTTGTGATTGCTAAGATAATATCTACTTTGACCCTGAGCTGGAAAAAGGTTTTCTTACCGAGATTGAGCTGGATCCATCATTTCTTTCTCACACTTATGAAGAACATATTTTGAATGATTTGCTTTAAAATTTTGCATAAGTGGAAATAGGTACAAAACAATCTTTTTGAATTCCATTTTCTCTCTGTGGCACTAAGCACTTTGGCTCTTACTGTCTATAAGTAAGTCACCTCCCTTACTGTCTTTCAACCATGTTCAGAGAGGACACAGGATTACAGGGAAAGAGAAGAAATAATGCTGACTACTAGGCCTGTGTGAGCATTGAAAAAAAGTTTCAATACTCATTACTAAATTGGTCATCTCCAGCTCATCCCTTGTTTGGGTATCAGCCAGCACGTCAACGACTTAAATCTAGAAATATTTTTCTAAGATCTACAGAGACACTCGCTGGAACACCTCAGCAAGCGAGAGTCCAAAAGTGGCAGGCTCAAACCCAGAACCTCAACCAATGGCTGATACCATTCGTTCAGTCGTCTCCGACTCTTCGTGACCTCATGGACCAGCCCACGCCAGAGCTCCCTGTCGGCCGTCACCACCCCCAGCTCCCTCAAGGTCAGTCCAGTCACTTCAAGGATGCCATCCATCCATCTTGCCCTTGGTCGGCCCCTCTTCCTTTTGCCTTCCACTTTCCCCAGCATAATTGTCTTCTCTAGGCTTTGCTGTCTCCTCATGATGTGGCCAAAGTACTTTAACTTTGTCTCTAGTATCCTTCCCTCCAATGAGCAGTCGGCTTTATTTCCTGGAGGATGGACTGGTTGGATCTTCTCGCAGTCCAAGGCACTCTCAGAACTTTCCTCCAACACCACAGCTCAAAAGCATCGATCTTCCTTCGCTCAGCCTTCCCTAAGGTCCAGCTCTCACATCCGTAGGTTACTACAGGGGAATACCATTGCTTTGACTAGGCGGATCTTTGTTGCCAGTGTGATGTCTCTACTCTTTACTATTTTATCGAGATTTACATTGCTCTCCTCCCAAGAAGTAAGCGTCTTCTGATTTCCTGGCCACAGTCTGCATCTGCAGTAATCTTTGCACCTAGAAATACAAAGTCTGTCACGGCCTCCACGGTTTCTCCCTCTATTTTCCAGTTGTCAATCATTCTTGTTGCCATAATCTTGGTTTTTTTGACGTTTAGCTGCAACCCGGCTTTTGCGCTTTCTTCTTTCACCTTGATTAAAAGGCTCCTCAGCTCCTCCTCGCTTTCGGCCATCAGATACCAAATGAGAGACTCCCTCCTGGGCACACAGACGACTGGGTGACTTGGAAGGCGCTGAACTGACTGTGCTCTGGCACCACGAGATGAGAGCCAACCTCAAGAAATGGGGCCACAGAGTGGAATCCACGACATGCGAGTGCGGAGAAGAGCAAACCACTGACCACCTGCTGCAATGCAACCTGAGCCCCACCACATGCACAATGGAGGACCTTCTTGCGGCAACACCAGAGACACTCCAAGTGGCCAGATACTGGTCAAAGGACATTTAATCAACTACCAAACTCGCAAATTTTGTATTTTGTCTGTTTGTTTTGTTCTGTTAGAAATGTAATACAGTTGACTGGTTGCCCTGACATGACAAATAAAATACTAAATTGGTGTGTGTGTGTGTGTGTGTGTGTGTGTGTGTGCAGAGAATAGTTTCTAAAGTGTTTCTAAAATATAGTAAGGGGTCCGTACGGTAACTATAACAATTTGTTACTTTTTCAGCATGTAATTGTGCAGGTGGGTGGGGGGTGGACTTCCAGGGCTCCTTTCTCTCTCATTTCTAGAGATATCAGGATGAAACTTGCTACAATAGTAAAACACATTTCCCACTGTTACCCACCCCCCCACCCCTGGGTTTCAGAATATTTCACACATCCACTGATTTTTGGGAATTCTTTAAAAAATTATGAACTTTTAAAAAACAACAAGATCAATCTCCTTGAATTTCTATTTCCGATTATACAACAAAGCCAGGGGGTCCTTTCCTCCAAGTTTCAGAAAGATATGCGCATCCACTGATTTTTAGGGAATTTTAACCAACATAAACTTAACAGTATGATTTCACTGGAAGATCCCAAGGGCCATCCAGTCAAACCTCCTCCTGCCAGGCAGGGAAAGCACAGTCAAACCACTCCCACCCATCCAGCCTTTAAAATAATAATAATAATAATAATAATAATAATAATAATAACAACAACAATAATAATAATAGGAAACCTACTAAGTAAACTTTGGAGTTACTGCCCCTCAACTTTGCCTTCCTCACCAGAGGGCAGTTTTAGATCTAATATGATTAAAATACTGGAAGTAAATTGTGGTTAAACATTAGAAACAATTTCTTAATGATAAGAACACTTTGATAATGAAGCAATTGGCCAGAGTCAGAATAGACTTACCCCATTACTGGAGATTTTCAAGTCCCCATTTCTTGGGCATATTTTAGTTCTAGATTTCCTTTATGAAAAAGGAATGTGATTCAAAATGTTTTTACTTCAAATAAACCTGAAAGGAAGCACCACCTACCCAAGTGTTCAATGGAATAGTATCGCTGTTTGCTGTCTACTCGCACCGTCTCAGCATATGGGCTGCCCACGCCATAGCCAATGATGTATCCACGTACAACGATATTTGGATTCAGAGGCGGTGTCCAGCTCATTACGATGCTGGTTGACAAAGGCCTGACATGAAGAGAGCTTGGCTGGTCAGGAACCTGAGATTCTAGAAGTCAAAGAAAACCGCTATTAGCATTGAGATGGACTACATTAGATTATTAAAAAGTGTACACTTTATACTTCTATCACAAGTGATGGAGTAAAAGTCAAGTGATTTTCCTTGTTTCATGCAGAATTAGCATGCAAACTACACTTAGCTTTTGAATTATCTTGGTTTTTGATCTGCTTTTGCCACACCATTTAATCTCTTTCTACTAGAAACAAACAGGATTTTGACTATTCCAGTCACTCTCAGACTACCTCTTATTCTTCCAGTTATGTGAATTAAAGAATAAATACATCTGAAAGCATGAGATAAGGGGTAAAGAACAACTAGCCTTTATGAGAATGTATTGGTGGATGTAAGACAAAGTCAATAATTGTCAACAAAATTTAACTTCATGGAGCTATTCATCCAAATTAGCCCCTGAAAAACAATATTTTCAATGATACAATAGCAGAAACACACAGAGAAAATCCCACAGCCTAACCAAGGGCTTGCAGGTTTAAAGGAAAAATTACTGACAATGGTGTAATATTACTAACAACAGTTCATTATAAATATGCTTATATACTAGGCATGGTTAGGTTCAGTCGGAATTTTCATAATTTGGAATAAATATGCTTTTTGAAGTGATTTCAACGTTTTTAAGGACACCAGAAGTCCCTTTGCCCTTCCGAAGCTTTTTCTGCCATTTCTCTTATGAATCAGTAAGTGAGTTGGATCCCCCAGAGAAACCGGGAGAGCATGGCAGCATGAAGGCAGCGTCCGAAAGAGGCTGCTTGCAAGGTATTTAGCCAGATGAATACTGAACTCTGTATTCTCCCAACTTCTCTCTGAGCAGGAAATGAACGGAAGGCAGGACTATGGCATCCTGGAACTATAACAAACCATACAGTCAACAATGAATTATGGGTTTGGCTGCCGAATGCGTCATGGAGGAGGGAGAGGGTTCCGTTAACCGGGGAGCCCCCATAGAAGTCGTGGTGGGGAGGGGGAGATACGGGAAAAGGAGACCTTTAATTCGGCCTAGGGATAGAAGTCGTGGTGGGGAGGGGGAGATACGGGAAAAGGAGACCTTTAATTCGGCCTAGGGAATGTGGAACAACATTAGTAATCCCAAGTCGGTCTCCTGATATGGTAAGTCGGTGTAACCAGGATGGCGGTCCCTCCGAATTGAAAGTGGTGCTGTTGAACGCCAGATCTGTCAACGGTAAAACAACTTTCATCCAGGATTTAATCCTGGATGAACGGGCAGATCTGGCGTGCATCACAGAGACCTGGTTGGACGAAGCGGGAGGTGTAAATTTAACCCAGCTTTGCCCACCAGGTTTCTCTGTGCAGCACCAACCGAGATCCGGAGGGCGGGGAGGCGGAGTTGCAGTGGTCTATAGATATTCCATTCTTCTGACCAGGGCCCCCATCCCGCAGTCAACAAATTTTGAATGCGTCCACCTGAGGGTGGGTGACCGGGACAGATTAGGGATTCTGTTAGTGTACCGTCCACCTCGCTGCACTACAGACTCCCTGACTGAGCTAGTGGGGGTGGTCTCGGACCTGGCGTTGGAGTCCCAACGGCTGCTTGTGCTGGGGGACTTCAATGTCCATGCCGAGGCCGCCCTATCGGGAGCGGCTCAGGACTTCATGTCTACCATGGCAACCATGGGGCTGTCCCAACAGGTATCTGGCCCCACCCACAGTGCTGGACATACATTGGACTTGGTTTTCTGCCAGGGATGGGAGGAAGGTGGCGGTGTTGAGGAGTTATCCATCTCTCCGTTGCCATGGACCGACCACCACCTGGTCAGCTTTAGACTCACTGCACCCCCTAACCTCCGCAGAGGTGGAGGACCCATTAAATTGGTCCGCCCCAGGAGGCTTATGGATCCGGATGGATTCCTGATGGCTCTTGGGGAATTTCCCACCACCTCGGTTGGTGATCCTGTTGATGCTCTGGTCGCTCTCTGGAATGGGGAGATGACTAGGGCAATAGACACGATCGCTCCAGAACGTCCCCTCTCAAGTAGCCGAGCTAAACCAGCTCCTTGGTTCACCTAGGAGCTGGCAGCGTTGAAGCGAAAGAAGAGGGAACTAGAGAGCGTGTGGCGTTCGGATCCGAGCGAGCCAAATCGAACACGGTTTGTGTCCTTTTTAAGGGCATATGCCGCGGCAATAAAAGCCGCAAAGAAGACTTTCTTTGCGGCCACTATTGCGTCTGCAAAGAACCGTCCGGCTGAACTGTTCCGAGTTGTCAGAGGCCTATTAAAACCCGCCACTCAGGATGGGTGCCCTGATGACTCGGCAGCTCGCTGCGAAGCTTTTGCTCGGTTCTTCGCAGACAAAGTCGCTTTGATCCGCTCTGGACTGGATCCCATATTAACGGCAGTATCTGAGGATGTAACACGAGCATCTGCTTGTCCGGTTTTGATGGATTCATTTCAATTGGTTCAATCCGAGGATGTGGACAAGGTGCTTGGAGGAATGAGAGCTACCACATGCATCCTAGACCCCTGCCCATCCTGGCTTTTGAAGGAGGCCAGAGGGAGATTGGCCGAGTGGGTGAAGGTGGTGGTTAATGCCTCCCTTCGGGAAGGCAAAATTCCAGCCAGCTTAAAGCAACCTGTAATAAAACCGCTGTTGAAAAAACCATCACTGGACCCCACTCAATTTATCAACTATCGGCCTGTTTCCAATCTCCCCTTTCTGGGCAAAGTCATGGAATGTGTGGTGGCCTCACAACTCCAGGCATTCTTGGTAGACACGGATTATCTGGACCCGGCACAGTCTGGCTTTAGGCCGGGGCATGGTACCGAGACAGCCTTGGTCGCCTTAGTGGATGATCTGCGTCGGGAGCTCGACAGGGGGAGTGTGTCCCTGTTGGTGCTGCTCGACCTCTCAGCGGCCTTCGATACCGTCGACCACGGTATCCTTCTGGGACGCCTCACGGGGATGGGTCTTGGAGGTACTGTTCTGCAGTGGCTCCGCTCATTCCTCGAGGGTCGGTCTCAGAAGGTGTTACTGGGAGACTCCTGTTCAACCCCACAACCTTTGTCTTGTGGGGTTCCTCAGGGTTCAATACTGTCTCCCATGTTGTTTAACATCTACATGAAGCCGCTGGGCGAGATCATCCGGAGTTTCGGAGTCCGATGTCATCTGTACGCAGATGATGTCCAACTCTGTCACTCCTTTCCACCTGCTACTAAGGAGGCTGTCGAGGTCCTGAACCGGTGCTTGGCCGCTGTGACGGTCTGGATGGGGGCGAACAAATTGAAATTGAATCCAGACAAGACAGAGGTACTCCTGGTTAGTCGTAAGGCCGAACAGGGTATATGTTTACAGCCTGTGTTAGACGGGGTCGCACTCCCCCTGAAGACACAGGTTCGCAGTTTGGGGGTGATCCTGGATTCATCGCTGAGCCTGGAACCCCAGGTTTCGGCGGTGACCAGGGGAGCTTTCGCACAGTTAAAACTTGTGCGCCAACTGCGACCGTACCTTGGGAAGTCTGACTTAGCCACGGTAGTCCACGCTCTGGTTACATCCCGTCTTGACTACTGCAACGCTCTCTACGTGGGGTTGCCTTTGAAGACAGCCCGGAAGCTCCAATTAGTCCAACGGGCGGCAGCCATGATTCTAACAGGAGCGGGGCGCAGGGAGCATACAACTCCTCTGCTGCACCAGCTCCACTGGCTGCCGATCTGCTACCGGGCTCAATTCAAAGTGCTGGCGTTGGCCTTTAAAGCCCTAAACGGTTCTGGCCCAACTTATCTATCCGAACGTATCTCAGCCTATCAGCCCACCAGGACCCTAAGGTCTTCTGGGGAGTCCCTGCTCTCTATCCCGCCGGCTTCACACGTGCGGCTGGCGGGAACGAGAGACAGGGCCTTTTCTGTGGTGGCCCCTTGGCTTTGGAACACCCTCCCCATAGAGGTACGATCAGCCCCCTCGCTGATGGTGTTTCGGAATAGATTGAAGACATGGATGTTTAAACAAGCATTCGGTTAATCCGTTGCAACGAATTTTGATGACTAAAGGATTGGTAATCATGGACGATGAATTTTGGACTGCGATTCCAGTTATGAGATGCATGGGATTATTATTGGTGGCCCAATAATTTGTATTGTATATGTGTTTTATGCTTTTAAACTGAATACTGTTTTTTAAATGTTGTAAACCGCAATGAGTCGCCGACTTAGCCTCAGCTTCTGTCTTAAACCAGAGAAGCATTTTAAAGCAGAGTGGATGGATTCCTCCCTTTCTTTCCCCCCTGGCTTCTGTCTTGAGCCAGATAAGCATTTTAAAGCAGAGTGGATGAATTCCCCACTTCCTTTCCCCCTAGCTTCTGTCTTAAACCAGAGAAGCATTTTAAAGCAGAGTGGATGAATTTCCCCCTTTTCCTTTCCCCCGGCTTCTGTCTTAAACCAGAGAAGTGTTTTAAAGCAGATTGGATGAATTCCCTCCCTTTGCTTCCCTCCCCCTTCTGGAGTATAACAACTATTTTCAAAGTAAAGATTACCCAATGAAACAGGAAATAACACTTTCAAACCATAAAGGATTCGGAAGTCTAGGAAGTTTCAAAAAGTTTTGAACATTTTTTCTATGAGAATTGGAATTCACTTTAGAATTGAACCACCAGCGCCCCCTACATCAGAAACCAGTTTTGAACCATTTTATTTTGGATCAAACAATCCCATTATTTACATTTCTTTTAAACAACCTACTCTGATTAATATAATATCACTTTAAAAAAGATTTTCCATCTAAAAACAAAAGAAATAGAAACCACGTTATTTACAGGTTTTGATATGAGCGTTTTTGCATGACAGGCAATATTTCTAATTCCTATCCTGTCAAATTGTGCATGTTTTCCAAATTGTCTAAAGGTTTAAACAAGCCATTTTAGGAGAGGTTTGCACAAGAGCTATCATATTCCAAGTTTCTTTGGAAGAGAAATAAAGTAGCTCGTCTCTTTAAGAGCAGAAGAGTCAAGTTGTGATCTTTTCTCCAGC